AAATGTAACTTTCTTTATTAAAGGTATAATAATATACGAATAATTATTTGGAATCAGTTGATTAAACTGGTATTTCATCTTAGTATTTATAAAGTATAATTAATTAAACAGAAAAAATTCTCCCTAAAAATACATATGTTGACATACATAATAAATAAAGAAAGCATAGTTTTAACATTTTAGTAATTTTCTTATAATTTAAAATTTTTGAATATTTATTCTTTACATCATATTTTATAGATTTAATGTTAAATTAAATTTTCTTTCAATAAAATAAGGAATTTGATTGAGATTAAACTTAACAGACAAATAATAATTATTATTTACATTGAATATTCTGTTTTTTCTTCTAATATTATTAGAATTAATAATTATTATCATAAAGATTGTTAAAAAGCTAAAAATTTAGAATTTATTTTTATCCTAATTAATATTATAAGATTTACTGATGATTAATAAGTTTTTTAATTATAATCTTACCATATTAGAAACTCCTAAATATATTAGATTATTTAATTTTTTATATTAGAATATTTGGAAAGAATATTTGTAATTTCTTATTATGATTTTTGGATATTTGTAATAAAATAAAAAACATAATTAATGAAAATTTATCTAATTTATATTTTCATCAGTAACTTATAAAAGAACAATTAAAAGGGAATCTAATTAAGAAAAGTTCTTATTCGTAGTGGTTGCTTTGTAATTAAACGAGAAATAGTTGTAAAATCATTATTTTTAGACCTTAAATTAGTATAGTGATTTAGAGAGAGCGTTTTAATAATGGTTTTTTTTCAAAAAAATATTCCTTTTATTATTAGATTTAAAAGAAAGTATTTTTCTCAATAATTTTGTCAGAATAATTCGGATATATTAATTTTCTTTTAATATTATTCATTAACTCAAAGTTCATGATTTTATCTCTCCTCTTAAACCCAATTTCCTATTTTTTTGCCATTATCATATTCACCTGAATATAAGATTTATCGTTAACTTATTTAAATAATATCTTACTCACAAAAATTAGCAGCCAAAAAATTCCATAAACCATTCTTTTAACCTTCTTCATTATATGATCCATTGCCACTAAGAACAATATATATATGTCTCATACATCTCTTAATAATATTTATCTGTCCATTCATTATCATTTTATATATTTTAAATGTATTCTCAATATAATCAATCATTTCATTTATATCCCATTTACCAATTTTGACACCATTGATGTATTTTATTAAATAATCTAGTTATCACTAAATAAATCATAATCTAAAAATACTCTTTGAAAGTATCAATCAAATCTATCCATTACCCACTTTTTTAAGATTCCTTATTATATAATCCTCAACCACTATCAATTCATTATTTAAATTATAAACATTATTTGAACATTATCACTCCACATTTCTTTAAATTTAATATCCCATTTATCAATTCTTTTTCCATTTTAATAAAAACCTTCAAAAATTACTTAATTATTAAGACTTTAAATGATATTAATTCAAGATCATTACTATCCAAATTATAATTATTATCTATCCATCTTCCATTTTAAAAATTTTTCATGATCATAAACTTCCTTCTCCAATATAACTAATTTATAATCTATATATATATATTTTACATCCATTCTTGATTGTTACAAAGATCCCATAAACCTTGTTTCTTCCCATTTTTATAATAGCCTTCAAAAATGAATTAATTATCACTAAGAAAGTCATAAATGTAAAAAATACTCATCAAATTTATCACTAATTTCAGTCCATTTTCCATATTTTTGACCATATTCATTAAATAATCCTCCACCACTAAAATAATAATTTATAATTATTTTAAACATCCGTTCAGGCTTTTCAAAACTTTCATCTTTAAAACTAATATCCCATCTACCAAACCTTTTGCCTTTTATATATTATCCATGATAAATGACTTAACTCTTACTAAGTTAAAAATAATATAAAGAACAACTCTTAAAATCTATCACTTAATACCACCCAATTCCCAACTTTGAAGCTTTATGTATCATATATTCCTCCACCACTTTAGTTTTATATTTGTATAAATATAGAAATACATCTTTTAATCCATAAAAATAATTTCCCATCTACCAATTTTCTCACCATACTAATTATATTCACCCTAAAAGTAAACCTTACTATCCCTAATTATTGTATTAATATATTACATTTAGAAATTAGTGCATAAATCTAGCCATAAGCCTTACTTTTAGCCTTTATTATTATAATATCTACCCGCACTACAATTTACTATTCAATATATGTACATATATTCATCCCCTTTTATCTCTCTATATTTTATATTCCATTTTCCAATTTTTATACCATTTAGATATTCACCTTTATAAAATACTTTCTCATTTCTAAAATTCATATATTTAATTACTAATTAAAATCTTAGTTCAAATCTTCCCATTTTCCATTTTTCTACCCTTATTCATTATAAAAACCTCCATCACAATAAAAGGATAATAATTCTACAAATTCATACATAACTTCACATTCTTCATTATTTCCATTCTTAAAGTTTGACCATAAACCAATTTTTTTACCTTTTCTATACTCCCCTTTGTAAATGATTTAATTATAGCTATTTATTTTAATATTATTAAAAAGTACTCCCAAAAATAATCGCTTAAATCTACCCAAAGGCAATATTTAATCCTTAGTCATCATATAAACCACCTCCGCTTAAATTCTAAATTTTAATTACATTTATTTTCTTCATAGATAAATTTCCAATCTCCTGTTTTTATATCTTCAAAGTATTCTCCAACTTCATATACTTAAGCTTTAATAAGCTAAAAACACTATATTACTCTGAAAAAGTTTTGAATAATTCTTTCCATTGCCCAAACTTTTTTCCATTTTCTGAGTACAATCCCCCAAAATCGCTTAATGCTGAACCTTTCCAAATTGGTCTCCATCTTCCAACCTTCTTCAAATCATTACTGTAAACCCCTTCCCATTACAAATGATTGATTTATCCCAAATTAGTCATTAAATCAGGATTACTTAAACTCTCAATATATTTATCCCTATTAAGTGATATATCAAAAACAATACGTTTTTATTATTTACCCATCATCTTAAATGTATTAAATTTCATTATTTTTTGTAAATTTGATATTTAAATTAATTTTCTCAATTACTTACTTTTTACAATTTTACCATCACAGTATTAGTTTTTTTGACCGCAATCCACAACATCTAAATATACTCTTTTTAACGATTGATCTTCTTCTTGGTAAATACTCATAATAAAATTTATTAATAAATATACTAAAGTTTTTCTTTATATAATAAAATATTTTTCTTATTTGACTATTTTTACTTTCTAAACAGTTCTCATTTCAGTATTATTATTGACCTTTCCACAACCCTTATGATCTTTGCCAACCTTCTAGCCATATCTTCTAATAAATAATATTTATTCTATTGAGATTCTCAAAAATTCGTTGTTTAGTACAAAAAGTTAATCAATCAATTCGTTGTATTTTTAAGCTAAAACAAATAATAAAAAAGAAAATCTAAAAACTTCATAAAAGGTTTTTTGTATAGGCAAAAATAATGAAAATCTAATTTTATTTGGTTTAATCCAAAAAAGTGATTACTTTGTATTATTAAATTTATCATATAGTTGTTTATAAAATATTTTGTATTAATTATTCTTTACTTCGTTTACTTTATTGTGATCATTTTAAATCTTTTTAAGGGAGGAACTTACTTATTCAGTTGAGGAATCTTCTAATTGTTATTCTATCACTCTTTATTTGTTAAAATTCTGTTATTTTTTAAGTTTGGTAGGTGATTTTTCAATGAAACATAATTCTTTTTATAAGTGAGAAAGTGTTTAATAACCTAGTCCTCAGTCTATTATTTAATAAAGAAAAAAGTATTTCCTTTATTTTTGTTTTAACTTTAAAATTCTCAAAACTATACTTTTTGCAAGAATTGCCGATACTAATTTGATAATTGGTTACTCAACATATCATATCTCTTTATCTCAAACACTTTCTGACTTGTCTACTGCTTCTAATAATAATAACCATTGGCATTTCATTTTGAGTTAATTGAAGTAAAGGGCATTCTCTGAATCTAAAATCCCCTTATTATTCAAGCATTTAAATAAATTAGATTCTTAATTATTATAAGTATTTTGGATTTATTAATCTATCATACTTTACAATTAATTATTATTGAGAATTTTTTTTTTCTTCTTTGACAAATACATTACCTTCTTGAAGAAAATTCTAGATGTATCTGCAATTAGCAATTAACTCACATTTACTAAGATAATTTGTTGTAATAAATTATTCATCATTATGTTTATTTTTAATTAAATATCACTTTTAATTTAAATTTATGTTATATTTTTGTGAAATTTATTAAATCATATTAAAGTTGTCTATTTAAATTCAAAAGAATTCAAAAGTTTGTTGCTAAATTTATTTTATGAAACTAGAGACTATGGGATTCATCATTAATATCTCCATTATAAATTTTTTTGTTACCAACAAATAATCTAAGCTAGATTTAAAATAAGTTTGAATGGATAATAAAATAATAATATGAATTATTACCTGATAATAATATGAATTTCGTTAATTGCAATTTAAAAGTTTTATTAAGATTATATTTTAAACAATACTTTAATCTTAAAACTATTATAAAAATGCAAATTACTTTTGTTCAAAGGAAAAAAAATTTCAAAAATTGCAATTAATTAACAGTACTGTAAACTAACTGGAAAAGAGTAAGTAGCTGCGTGAAAGGAGTTGCTTGATACTTTAGTTTAGTAACTATCAGCTTAGGCAGCATATAGACAAGTGGAGGTTTTGAATAAAGTTGAATATATCAGTTTTCAACCCTCTCTGTATCAATTCCCCAAAGGATCTTCCCTTAGCACGTATGCAATACCTACAACCTTTTGTTTAATTTTAAAGTATAGCTAGCCAGGGCAATACCTCACAACATTCCATGGCCTGAGAGGAGTAATCAGCTAATTCAAAACTTAGATAGACTATTTAAAAATCAGAAAGATAAAATTCAAATGTGTATCTACATAAAGGTTTACCCTTAAAGATTTGAAAGATTGCTACAGAATAAACAATACAATGAAAATCAAATTATATTATAATTTATTAATTATTTATGTTTATATATATATTATTTTTTTAACTCTTCAAATATCATATTTCTTTTCACTAAGTTTCACATTCTCTTTTATATCAATTTCCACCCATGTACCAATCTTCATTCCCTTCATATTATATTCGCCATTATAAATGACTTATTTACCCAACCAAAAGTTTTTGTCCAACTCTACCCATCTTCCAATCTTATTCTACTCTCCTTCATATGATCCACCACCACTGTTATTACATAAATAATTTACATATTGACATTTGTCATATCTCCATTTGTCTTTTAAAACCATATATCCCAACGACCTTACTTCATACCGTTGATATTATATTCACCAATATAAGTGACTTATTTAAAAAACTAAAATCCTTCATCCAACTCTATCCATTTTCCAAACTTTTTCTAACTACCTTCTTAATCATATGATCCACCACCACTAAAACGCATATTATATTCCTTATACTTAAATATTATTTACATATTGTCATTTGTTTGCTCTTCATTTTTTTTCTGAAACCATATATCCCATCTACCAACCTTGCTGCCATTCAAATTATATTCACCAATATAAGTGACTTATTTATCATCATAAAATTTTTCATCCAACTCTACCCATTATCCGGTTTTTTTCTCAGATCCTTCTAATTTATATAATCCTCCACCTCTAAACACATATATATGCCTAATACTAATACAGTATTTACACTTATTTGTAGAACTTTTCGTCTCTCTTATCAAACATAATTTGCCATCTACCAACCTTCTTATTCATATTGAATTCTCCAACATAAATAATTGCATTGCTAATAACTAAATACTAAATACTTCTCACTCCTATATATCTCATTTCCATTTTCATCAAAATTAACGCAACCACTATGTAATTCATTCTTAAATATGATACCACAATGAATTGAATTTTAAATTTATTTTATTCCATACTCCTGTTTTCATTCCATTCATATTATAATCGCCAATATAGATGAATTACTTATAATAATTAAAGCTTTCATCCAACTCTGCCCATTTTCCAATCTTTTTCTAAAATCCTTCTTAATCATATTCTCCACCACCCCTAACATACTTAATATTAGTTACACATTGTCATTTTTATCATTTGCAAATATCTATTCCTTCCTCAACCATATATCCCATCTGCCTACCTTCTTACCGTTGATATTGTAATCACCAATATAAGTGACTTATTTATGTTAATTAAACCCATCATCCAACTCTACCCATTTTCCAAATTTTTTATCACTTCCATCTTTATCATATTATCCACCACCACTAAATGTGTATTTATACTTATATCATGTTTACATTTATTTATATTAAAAAATAACATCCCATTGACCAACTTTACAGCCGTTAAAATTATATTCACCAATATAAGTGACTTATTTATGTTAATTAAACCCATCCTCTAACTCTACCCAATTTCCAACTTTTTTATTACCTCCTTCTTAATTATATTATCCACCACCACTAAAAATATATTTTTACTTATATCATATTTACATTTGTTTATATTAAAAAATGACATCCCATTGACCAACCTTACTGCCATTCAAATTATATTCACCAATATAAGTGATTTATTTATCATCATAAAATGTTTCATCCAACTCTACCCATTTTCCAATCTTTTTCTCACTTCCTTCTTAATCATATTATCCACCACCACTAAAAAATTATTATATTTCTTTTAGCAATATAATGTTACATTTATTTATTATCTCTGCAATTAAGCACTATATTCCATTTACCGATCCTCTTACCTTTGATATCATATTCACCATGATAAGCGATTTATTTCCCATTATAAAATCCTTCATCAAACTCAACCCATTTGCCTTACTTATAACCATCTTTATTGTAGAATCCTCCGCGACTAAACAAATAACAAAAAATTACATCTTCTTATAATAACAAATATAATTCCAATTGCCAATTCTAAAGCCATTTTAATATTCTCCAGTTTCTAAAACTTGTCCTTTACTTTAAATAATTTTAACTTTTAATAATTTACTTCCAAAAATTTAAGAATAGATCTTTCCAAAATCCTTGCTTTTATCCATCCTTATAGTATCCACCAACATTCTTTAAAATGTCTTCTTCATTCCAAGAAGCAATCCATTTTCCATTTTTCTTGTTGTTCTAATCATATTGACCTGACCATTAAAGATTGACAATTTAATCCATATTGTTAAAAAGATTTGGATAATTTATGATACCAGGATGTTTTTCTCTTTTAAAAATTTAGCAATAAATATTTACATTCTTAAGTTTGATCCATCTTTTGAATATATTATTTAGTGGTCTTTAGTAAATTTGATTTGAATTTTTACTTTTTCAATTCTTTTTAACTATTTATTCCAATTTTTAATCTCTTTTTCAAATATTTATTCTTTCCAATTTGGTGAAAAATTCATTAACAAAATAATTATATTTCTATTACTTTGAAAATACTAAAATTTCTATTATTTAATAATAAGCGATGTATGTATTAAAAAATATTTATATTAGTTTAAAACTTGACAATTGAATCCTACATAATTTAATGTTAGATCATAAAAAGTAAGTATTAATAATTAAAAATAGTAAATTATCTATCTGTTAATGATTTAAATAATTGAATTTATAGAAAACTTAAAGGAGGTTATGACCAGGTGATTAATTATTATAATTATAATGAAATTTAAGTTAAAATTGGAATGCTCAAAAACTATATTGCTTCTAAATATCGTTTATTGAGTATTATTCAATCTAAATTTGTAATCTTAAAGTATTTATTTTAACTTGAATTACATTCAAATTGAAAAAGATAGTTAGTAAAGGGAGAAAAGAGATAGAAGATTATGTAATCAGTATTTCAAAAGGCGAGTACATTTTTATTCAAAAGCAGGGCTTTAGCAAAATCATCAATACCACTTAAGGGTCTAAATCTTAAATAATACCAACAAAACTAAATTAGTGATGAAAAACTTGATAATTATTCTAAGATGTAATTTTATAAAAATCACAACACTATCAATGAAAGTATTCTTTTTGATTAAAATTTTATATTATAATTATTCAGATTTGAAATTTAATTTATGCTCTAGTCTCCCAATTAATAAATACATTCTAATGTTTTTTTTTTTTAAGGGGAATGCTAATTGTTCTAATTTAAGAAATTTAAATCATAATTATAAGAATAATATACTATGAATTGGTGTTTATTTTGGCATATAAGTTAGAAAATTATATAAGACTTTTATAACAACCCTAAAATGAGAATTCAAACAAACATTCCTCAGTTAATTTGTAAAATTTTTATTTTAAAAACTGATATTATTTAAAATGAGTCGTCTATTGAAACATGACAAAAAAGATTGACTTTTTTGCTGCTCCTTTAGTTTAGCAAATTGATTAAATAGTCCATTTATAAAAGTATATTAGGAGGAATTATTCCTCTATTAATTTGTTCTGCAAGTCTATTTTACACAGTTTGGATCATATATTCATGGCATAAGAATCAATTTAGCCCTAAAATATTAAGTTCTGTAGATGTATCAAATTTTTCATTGTTGGACATTAACTATGATCTAATAAAACTTTGTTTTTATAAATATGACGAAAATATGATTGACCCCTTTGAAACTAAAGTCCTTCTGCCCTTAATCACTTATACTGAAAATTATACATTTACTGAAACTAAACTTTTGAATTTATCTAATGAAACCTCTTATTATGGAAACAAATATATAATTCCTTAAATGAGATTAGGATTCACAAATTTCAATAATATGTTAATTACAACATCTGAAATGTACATATAAATAGTAAAATGTACACCAGAGCTTTTGGGAGAAGGAGAATAATGTGCATCTGAAGAAATCAGCAATAAATTTTTTAGTTAATCTTAGAACATAATAATAATGTAAATAAAACGGTTCAATACAGTCAAGTATTTAAGAATTCTTTGTTTCAATAGAAAAACTGAATTGTAATACTTTAAATACATTTCTTCAAAGTAGTTTTTATGAAGTAAAAGATTCAATTCTTTTTGGATCTCCTAAGTAATTAGAGCATGTGAATGGTGCTTTGATTTAACCATAAACTAATAAAATATAATATTGTAAATAAACATTTGGAATTGAAACTTATGCTTCTCTTTATGTTGTTATGAAAGGAAACTAAATTAAGACTCTTATAGAGTACCCTAATGCAGGTGATTTGTTAGCTAATATTGGTTTAATTGTTTCTCTATTATTATTTATGTTTAGACACATTATCTTTTTCTTTAATACTAATTTTTTGAATGAAAAAATAATAAATGATATGATTTTCTAAGTTAAAAATTCATAAAAATTGGAAACGAGACATAATTAATGTTACTCTTTAAAATTAACAACTTGATTTAAATGAATATAAAAAATTTTATGAGGATATTAGAATATAAATAGAAAAAAAGCTAACCTATGTAAATATGCTGTATGAAATTTCAAGGATGTATATTTTGATTCGTTCAAAGAAATCTTAGAGTGAAATTAAAAAATGTCATTCTATAGGTGTAAAGCTTGGGCATTTATGATTAACTACCTTTGCAATTGATCCTTTAGTAAAGTTGAACCCTGCTATAAAGAATTAGAAGATTACACACTTAATGATGAAGATATTGGAATTCTATCTTTATAAGAAAGAAAAAAATAATTTAAAATAAATAATGTAGTTGATGAAGAAATTGAGATGCTGGATTTTTATGACATAAATAGAATTTAATTATGAAATATTTATAATTTTCCTAAATATTTCACAATCTTCTTATTCAAGAATATTAATAGATATAGATTGATTACATTTACTGTAAATACAGGATAGCCTTAGAGTTATTATATATCAATATTTGCAATTCAAATAAAATAAAAAAGCATTAACTAATTGCTTAGGTTTTTATGTGAGTCAATTAGCGCAGATTATTTATATTATCAACCCTAATAACAAAAGAAAATTAAAGACTGTTAAAGATTGTATTTGAATGTCCCAATGCTTTTTTGAGAAGACTAATTTAGAATTGTAGAGGGAGAAAATATAAATTAACTTTCAATCAAATCAATTCTATTTTTAGATTTTTTTTGTTTTCTAATCCCTATTAAATCTTTTTGTATTAGATTTATATTTAAATCAAAACAAATGGAACAGCTTGGCCCAATCTTTGCTGTAACTTTATGATATTAGGAAGAGCTATCAAAAAATTTTGTAATTTTATAAAATTTCATGATAGAGCCTTGAAGAACAACAAAAAATGACTAAGCATCTTTATTGAAGATGTTTCCAATATTATTGATTTTCAACCACAATTATAAGTCTGAAGCAAGACTCTATTCATAAATGCTTTTGATGCCAATTATTTTTCAATTGTTGCTTATCTATATAAAGTGCAAAATCAAGAAATTCAACAATGCTACCAAAAATTTTCAGTTTATTCATTAAAACTGAAACTATTCTTCTAAATAGTAAATAATCAAGAATTCTAAGATATTTTGAGTAGATAGTTCAATTAAGTGTAAAAATAAAAGATCAAATAACATATTCAATTTAAATAAGGTTAAGATCTAATAATCTTGGTTATATATTAGTGGATCTAAAAAGAATAAGTGATGCTATATACTAGAATATATTTTATGTATTATTGATTGCAATCGATAAATATTATTGGATGATTAAAGCTGTTAATATACTTGTCAATTAACGGTCTGGATTAAGGATTCTGTTATAAATGGCATGAAAGTGTTGATAATACAGAATACAGATCCAACCTTAATTACATGTCAATATGATTACATGATGAAGTTATTAGGTAAAACTATCTCAAATATTATTTATTTTAGATCTTTCAAAATTTAAAATTGATGGAATAATCATCAACTTGAAACTGAAGATTATCTTATGAAATTGAAAGAAGCTTCTTCCTCTCTCTTCATTGAAGGATCTGTTAAATATTTTCTTAAAGTATTTATGCCTTTTAGACATCATTTATAAGGGTGAACGTAGAGGGATATATTGATAACAAAATATTTGAGTATTTATGTTAATTATTGCTTGAAAAAAGAATAATAACAAAATATTTAGTATTATGTCCTTAAAATGTGTTAATTATTGTTATCTATTTAAAATAAATTAATGGATCTCATTAAAAACCTTCATCAAAATTTATTGCATCTTGAGAAAATCTTAATACCCTTACTTTAATATATAAAATATACTGTAAGCAAAAATCCTTTATCTTATCTAATTTTCACAATCATATTCAGTTTGTGAAACCTTCTTAATTTTCCCCTCCAGTTAGAAATAGGAATCCTTTAGGAGATAAGCCATCCAATTTAATAAGTTTTTTTTCTGCATTAATTTACAAAACTGATTCAAATTTTTATTAATTTTTAAATGAATAATACATCACTAAAAATTTCTCACCCATTAAATATCATATATCCAATTTTAAGATATTTTAATCTCTTTTATTTAAAAAAATCTGTATCTAAATATTAAATTGAAATTAAAGTTTTAGAATTTAAAAAGTTAAATACTAAAGATATAAATTCATTATCAGGAGTAGAAAATATCTAGCCATTTACAATATCAATTACCATTCTAAAGGTAGATTTCTAAAGTTTACATCTTTATAATTGAACAATTATTTGATCTCAGGTGAAAAGTAAGAAAATCTTTAATTGATGATACATAAAAAATTGTAGAAATTATTTTTTTATTCATTTTACCTTAATTTCATCTAAAAACTTCTTATTATTTCCAATCATAATCAAGGTAATGATTGCATTCTTTGAAAAAATTATTCCAAAGAAAATGAAACTTGAAAAACCAGCTAAATACATTCCAATATCCTATTCATAAATAATTTAGTGATTCATCTAGTTTCCTTTAACATATGAAATAATATGCAAAAACAATTATTATTTAGTCATAGTAATAATTAATTTCTTCTCCATCTAATTCAATTTATTTATTATCTAGAAAAAAAAGTATTCAGCTTTATTAAATTAAAATTACTAAAGTTTAAAGCTATTTGAAATAATATATTTATCCTTAAAGAAAAATATATAATCATTCTTCATGTTATAAACTATAAATGAGAACTGATATATTTCATACATATATTTTCATTATATTTGATTTATTAAAAATTATGTTTCAATCATAAAAGATTATGATTAAGACGTCAGTCTCTAAAGGTTTGGACGACTTTTCTAAGAAAAATTATTGAGTTATCAATATCCAATTTATTATATAAATTTATTCTTATTCTTATTTAAAATAAATGATTTAAGACTAAATTATAAGCTTATTAGCCTAAATTCAAATATCTATTGATGAAACAGAAATATTAGGTAAATAAATGATAATTAATGATAGATCAATATTCTTCTTCGATAATTTAACTTTTTCAATTAACTTTTTATAGTTGCATTCATATGTTACCATATTCTCACTTTTGATTAATTATATTAATTATTACTTTGAGAAATTATCACATATATTTATCCATTTTCCATTCTTGATACCTGAATTATTATATATGCCAAAACCACTAATTGATATCAATAAATTATTGTAAATAATATTATTTATTTAAATAGATATTATTCTACAACCCTATTTTCTTAACATTTTAGTATTCACCATCAGAGATGATTCTACATGACCTATATGAGAATAGAATCTAATAAATACTCCTTAAAATTATCATTCTTCAAACCTTATTAATTGTATGATCCACCATCACTAAGTAGTTAATTATATGTTTCAAAAATACATCACTTCAAAGTTCTTTCTTTCAAAAATCCTATATTTGATTATCCATTTATTAATCTTCATCCCATTATTATAATGACCATTATAAATGATCTGATTGGTGCTAAGTATAATTAGTAATCTATTACTTTTTAATATTGTAGTATGCATCAATCCATCGGCCGATTCAAACCTTCTTAATTATATATACCTCCACCACTATAAATAATATATTAACTAAATTTATTTTACATTTTTTCAAACTTTTAAACACTATAACCTAAATTATATATCTCATCTACCATTATTTTTGTCATTTTGATACTGTCCCATATAACAGAGTTAAGACCAACTGTAATAATAAAGTATATATTATAAATACTTTTAAAAAATTTTCACTTAAAATTATCCATTTTCCATTTTTCAAACCAGAATCCTTATATATTCATTCCTGATTCTAATATTTTGGCATTGCTAAATTATTTAAATACTTAATTATAATATTACCAACAATAATTTTTTATTAACTCATACCATTATCCTTATTTTCTTCCATCTTAAGAATATAGATTTAGAATTAATTTTAAAATATATAAGCCACCTAAATTGTCTATCTTCTAGCCTTTCCATAAACCTGACCACTTTTCTACTTTTTACTAATTTGTTCCATATTCACCAATCCATTAGAAATGTTTAATTTTTCCTAAATTTATAAATATCTCTGTTTAATTCTTAGCTATGTCTATTATTTAATCATATTTTCATAAAAGACTAACAAAAACTTTACATTGTATGTATTACTCCATTTGATAAAGTCTAAGTCTGAATGAAAATTTCTTTATCAGTTGTAACTATTAATTAACATCTGCCTTTCTCTAAACTGTTATCTTTAAATATAAGACAATCTATTTCTTTAGAATCTTCTTGCAATTATATATCGCGCTTAAATAAAGGAAAATCCTCAGAAAAATTCATTATATCAATAAAATAAATTTTATAAATTAATTTACAGCTTACCAATATTGAATTTGCCTTTCTTCAAAATTACTCTACAAGTGAATTGAAATTTATCCAAAATTCAAAGTTTAAATAAATCAACCTACTTTTTTTAATAATTAAAAATGATGCCAAAATATTTCCTTTTTTGATTTTGATTTTAGGTAAAATAACTATAACATATAATTGTATTATATGGTTAATTTAGATCTTTAACTCATTATTCAAAAAAATATTTTTATTTATTTTGTTATTTAAAAATGTTTTGTATTTTATTGTGTTTTTATGGAACAGTTCTTTTTGAATTAAATAAAAATTATAACAATCTAAAAACTCATTTTTAAGTTTATGTAAATTAGTTTATATCCTAACCATAACATATATAAATAATTTTATTAAATTAAATGATTTTATAATTTGGATTTGTTTAAAAGTAAAACCACAATAAAAAAATCATTGCATTAAAATTAATATTTAAAATTCATCGTTATGATTGTATAAATTAACTTCTAGTTAATATATTTTTAAAAGGTTCATATCCTTGACTACAATTACTCTTTATTTAATTTAGATGAATAATAATTTTAATAAGGCAAGGATTTTGAAATCAAAGATGTAGAATGAAGGCATAAGATGAAAAAGCTTAATAAAATAATATTTGGGTTAAAAAAGAATTAAACAAATTTATAAAGCAATAATAGTCATGAATAAATATTAATAATATTAAAAGAGATCATAAAATTGTAAGAGTTTGTTTATTTAGCTATTCAATCTTGGAATTCTGAATAATTAATGAAAAATATCTGATTATGGTAAAGTAAGTATTTAGAATCAGTATTTGAGAGCTTAGAAATAAAAGTTGGTTTTGTAAAGGAAAAAATAATTATTAACTCAATATATATTATATTAATGATGATAACTCATATATTTATAAATCTTTTATCATAATAGCTAAGTTTACAAATACT